GCTCGTATGAAACGTGACTGAGTTCGCCTTCTAGCTATAGAGCGACCAAAAGCATCGCACCTTCACTGTGAAGGATTGGTTTCGACAGCATGGCGCGCTTTCAACGAAGGGAACAATTCACACCAATGTCCCGAGCGCCATCGAAACATTATGGGAAAGAGTAGGGATACCTTTGGTGGAAATAAGAGCCGGGAATATGGGCGAGAAACTCGTCAAATTTCAAGAGAAGTGGAGGAAGCTGCCCTAGTAGACAGTGCATTCAATGACTGATTCCTTACTTAGGCCTTGTTAGTATTTCAGCGAACCCAGAAGATCATTAACAAAGTATTGGACCTGCCCAGTGTTATTCATCATGCGTAAGATTGTTTTGTTGAATTGTAAGCTTGCTAGAGTAATTTGAAACCTACTTGGAATTTGCTCATACGCGAGAATTTCTAGTGAAATGATTTTTTCCATTCTTAATTCTTTCTCAATCCGAAACAAATATGCCGTTTAAGTGAAGTAGGACTATCTCTAAAACATATTAAAATTTGAATTGATTTGATTCAGCGGAAAAAAAGTTACAGTCGAAAAACAAGTTTCGAAAAACAATTTCGGCGAAGACTTTTGACCGCTACTGTACATGAACGGCGCTCAGTATAGTTGGCGGGTTGGCTCGACATATTCTCTCTCCTTTGAGAGAGCGCAGAGAAAACGAATAGTGGGAGGCGAGCACGCACTTCAGCGCGTCAATGCGTCGCGCATTGTACGTGACTACAGCAGAACATTATAATTCACGCTTTACTTCGGGTGCTCGCTCTGTCTAAACGGCTTAGTCGGGTAAGTCTGTGCGTGTGTGTGCATGTCTGTGTGTGTCACGAAATTCATAGCGCGCGTCGCAGCAGTCGTCAGGAGTTGATTTCAGATATGATATAGGGGTGGGACGGGAACATATTTGGTGGGGACAGAAAGTGATAACACTGATAAGATCTGATAAGGGGCGTTAGAACGCAAGAAGTCACGAAATGCATGGCGCGCGACCCAGTAGCAGTGAGGCGTTGTCATGATGTAGCGGGTGGGACGCGAACATACTTGGTGGGGACCAGAAAGTGATAACAGCTGATAGGGGCTGATAAGGGGCGTTGGAAGGCAAATGTCACGAAATTCACAGCGCAGGGCCCAGCAGCATTGAGTCCTTAAACCATCAATCAAATCCATTGAAAGCAGTATGTTACTCGACACAATAGCAGGCTATACTCAGTTTCACTGACGCCGATACGTTGACATGCGCGATAGCGGGCGGAGCAAAACTGGTTCTTATTGAAGCACATAAGAATAGGATATGCGAAAAGCTTTCACCAACCGCCGTCCACTGTTCGTGTTGGTTGCCAGCATTTTTCAAAGTCGTCAAAACCATACATCCATTTCATTGTCTTCTCCTTGAGTCTCATGTAGGATTCTTCGCCTGTCTCTGTCGCCCAGTCCTAGAAATCACGCGTGAATGGGTTGAACTTTCGAAAAAAGCTCTGTTTCTCCAACTCTGTGTACTGTAGCTTTCAGCTAGTACTTCTTTGAAAAATCAAACGATAAAGTTTGGGCCCACCAAGAGCGCCCTGCCTTTGCTCTATAGGACAACATAGCCAGCGTTCAAAAATCTTTTATAGTGTTTGGTTCAGCCAACGATTCCATATTCTCCTAGCGTGCGAGTAGGGGTCTTACAATGCAACGGAGTCGGAAGGTCCCGAAAACATGCTCAACTGTCCGTCTGGACGAGCCGTATTTGAAGATCGTATTTGCTGTTGCTGAAAGGGCGAGAGGCATATTTTGGGTTGTCGAAATTCATTCGATTCTCGAAGTTGGGTCTTACGTAAGGAAGATGAGGGGGATAGACTACATTCAGTATGGGCTCCCCAACGACATACACCCTGCTGTCCCGACTGACTCTGCCTGAATGATTAGGGTGAAAAGCACCGTCGGAACAACCAACCTGAAGCATCACATAGTATTCCCGATTGGGAACTTCCCTCTTGCCTTCAACATTCGTTGGTACCGATCTGTCATTCTCGTCCACCACAACGAAGCCTTAAATCACAGCCTAAGCATAAGTAAACATTGCACGGATTAGCAAGCGTAAAGCGAGATAGCAGAAGCGTTATCACCTCCCAGTAATCCTTCTCCACGATCCGTCTGGAAGTGTCCATGATACCAATGAGTTCCTTTGTTGTCGGCGATGAATCGGTATTCGAAACTGTAATCTATGACCGTTTATTTGCACTCTTCATCAATCTGATAAGCTGTCTGCAGTCGACGTGCAACGGAAGGTCTAGAAAAAGAGACTCCACAGTGTTGTCAGTCATTCGCCGGAAGCTTAGTAGTTTAATAGATAACGTTATCAGGTATGAGATCAGCCAAAGAAAAAAGAATGTTGCATTCATTGTAGTTCTTCAATTATCCGATGTTTTCACCTGTTTTTCAGGTGAGAAGTTCAGTTTTGGAACCGAACGGGACTTGATAGTAACAAGGATTTCAGGTAGTCGAAACAGTAGGGCAATTGAAGGAATCCGACAAATCACGACACCACTGCGTCCTTGCCACTCGCTTCAGAGTCGTAGGCGGTAAGCCACCTTTGAGCTTGCAGTTTAAATCAGAGCTCTGGATAAGCAATGAGTAAGAGCATATCCTTTTTTTCACCCCGCTGAAAATGGACCGGAAGCAGGAATGTGATCTTATCCTTCGCCGTAAAGTTCGAAGGCACCATAGAAAACTCTTGTCAGCTATCAGGCAATCCACTGTGCTGCTAACTTCTCAAGGTAGTTTAACACCATAAAGACTACTTTCCCTCGATTTATTGAAAGCTTTCACTGCAGTCCGTTCAAGCGATGCTTCGTGATTCATTTCTGTAGAGTTCCCCACGAGAACTTCGAAGGTTATGACCCTTTCTGAATAGCTACAGAGATCTCTACTCACACTTCTAGTTAGAAATTCTTTGTTTATTTATTTATTTTGTTTGTTTATTTAACTATTGGTGCAGTTACTTACACAATGAGGACATAGTCAGGCAGCATGTTTACAATAGAATAGTCATGCCTTCACATGACACAGAGCTATTTAGGGAAGGGGAGAGAAAGGGGGATGATATTGATTCAAATTTCTCAAATTCCTCGTAATGATTTCACTCTTCATACGAATTACCTTACCAGGAAGGTCTTTCAGGGCGTGACGAAGCTTTTTGAAAACGGTCTTTTGCATGATATAGGGGCAGATGCGGGAACCACAGAACCATGTTCAATTTTTCCTGAACGGCCCTCTGAATACCAGAAAAGGGGTCCCTAGTTCGATTCCTCGTGGTAACAAATTTTTGCATTTCGAGTTGACGTGCCAAAATTCGCGCAAAATGGAGTTAGAACCAACCAGAACAATCAGAACTCCATTTTGCGCGAATTTTGGAACGTCAACTCGAAATGCAAAAATTTGTCACCAAGAGGAATCGAACTAGGGACCCCCTTTTCTGGTATTCAGAGGGCCGTTCAGGAAAAATTAAACATGGTTCTGTGGTCCCCGCATCTGCCCCTATATCATGCAAAAGACCGTTTTCAAAAAGCTCGTCACGCCCTGAAAGACCTTCCTGGTAGCTGACTATTTCCTGTTTTGAGTCGAACTCTATTTCGACTGAAAGCCGGAAATGCCCTTGGATATTGGATTTATATTTCCTTGACAAAATTTTGCCTATCGACCAACACCTTTATGTTTTTTTCCAGGATGGAGTCTACGTCTTCGATTTGGTTGTCGAGCGTAAGCTCACCATGACTTCACGTGATACCGATCCATGGAAGCATGGCACCCCAATAGATTACGCTCCAAGCTCGGTGTGTCAGTGATCTTTGCAGTTACGATAGCGTAACGATCTTTGTCCTTCTATTTTAGGCTTCATGGTCTAGACGTGAACCTGATCAACTGAAGGACTGTTTCCAAAATTATACACTAGATTTACAAGCAAGTTCCAACGATGCAGGCATATCTTAGCGACGTTGTCGTTTTGGACGGAAAGCACAAACGGGTCCTAATGATCAACGGCAAAACGTATGAGAGTTTCCCCTATTGGGTGCATTTCTTTCTATCCGTAATCTTCGGCGCGATGGCCCATAAATCTTGTTGTTATTTTGCTTTTGGTTTTTTTTTCGAATGCGTTGAGACGATTGGTCCCTTTCAGACCCTGGTGATGCGATCGTAGTGTGCATACCTCTCAGAAGTATTCTACGGGTTACGAAACAATGATCCGAATGGACTCCATGATCACTGCAATGCTTCATGTGGCTTGATAAACAGGTGATGGTTTGCGTTCAGCTTCAGCGCCAATTCCTTTGATGAACTCGTTTTTCAGATCTTTGGTACATGGACGGAGTATCGTTCATTCAGCAGTGCCCAATTCTCAGCACAAACTAGTAGGTTGAGCTTTCTCAATTAACATGAAGGCAGTTTTCCGCTGAGGCGTTGTGAAAATGGAACTTGATTAGCTTCTGAAAGAGTATACTGCATTCCCGAGATAGAGGAAGGATGGGTACGGTTCGTTTCCGCTTAGAAGGAAGCGCCGGAAGTCCAAGAATTTTCCATGGAGAGCGAAAATAACCTACCCAAAAACCCAAGGTTGTCAATCCTCTTTTCTGAAGTGGACGAGTTATAGCGAAGAGAGAGTGCAAGAGGGGAGAGACCGCAGGCGAGAGAGCACAGCAGCCAGCCAGCAGACGCAGGACCGCGGATGACGCTGCAGCCGCTTGTGTCTCTGCGACTATGTGGCAAAGCCGCAGCTTATTTGACGCTTCCTTCGGAGCAGTGGGAAATGCACATTTTGTATCATGACCAGTTCTATCCTACTCGTTTTAGGGCTTGACTCATGTAGTCTAAACGTGAACTGTGTCTCTGATCTGCATACCTTGCTTCTTGCTCACTTTCTCCCCTTATAAGAATGAGGGTTAACTGGAAAGGATGAGAACTAACGAGCTTACAAGGGAAGGATGTAGGTCGAAGTGGCCGTTCAAAATGAAATGTATACCTCCTGATGCGTCTCCAGACGCTGATTCCAAATCTGCCTTCCAAATCTGCTAAACGACTCTCCGAACGGAGTTATGAAGCGTAATAGCTCAGTGGTGATGGTCCGGGGTGGCAGGTAAAAGCTCGTAGGATCGGTTCCTTTGCAAATTGGTTGCTTTGCTTTTGTCTCTAGAAGTGTTGCGGACAAAAGCAAAGCAACAAACTTGCAAAGGAACCGATCCTACGAGCTTTTACCTGCCACCCCGGACCATCACCACTGAGCTATTACGCTTCATAACTCCGTTCGGAGAGCCGTTTAGCAGATTTGGAAGGCAGATTTGGAATCAGCGTCTAGAGACGCATCAGGTGGTATACATCTCATTTTATACGGCCACTTCGACCTACCATCCTTTCCTTGTAGAGAATCATGGTACTCGAGAAGAGTGACTCCTTGCGTGGCAAGTTTTCAGAGTCCGTAGTATCCTCCACCTCCTGGAATGGTTCCAGTTAAACTCCAGATCCGAACCATCCTAGGGTGGCCTGCATAAAGCAATTTAATCTTGCAAGGACCCCGTCGAGTGGCGGTAGGGGGAGGGTGATTGTTTTTCGTTTTCCTCATTTAGAACTGAAACAGATCGCTTTTAGGCTGTCCATGCCGAACCTTGCGATCATGCTTTTTTGTACTGAAAGGCTTTTTCACTTCTTGTGTGTTGGCATCAGTGGAAACCCGTTAGCTTTTGCTTCCGCGAGCTCCGTTAAGGGTTGACTTGAGAGTGAACAGAAATAGCAGCGTTTTTGAGAAGTTGACCTCTTTACTGTGGTTTCACATAACTAACGAGCGCATCCCCAGTGACAGCGGGTGTTCCTCTAGACTGTAAAACTCCCACCAATGGGCCACTAGGGGACAAAGCGACTCAATACCTTCCTGATCCCTTCGCGGAAGCCCTTTGCTGGCAGCTCGAGCACAAAAAGTTTGCGCTGCGAAAAATTGCTTTTCATCCTGGCAACTCACACCCCGGTTACCCACACAGCCGCTCTACTCAGAACCCTTTTCTTAATGCCCATCTGTCTCACACCTACATATTCTCTACATACTATTAATTTTTGAGTCAGGGTCAGGCAAAAGCACAACTTAGGCAGAAGTCGTGTTAACGAATCTTGCGGTCTGTAGGGTAGACCATCAGAAGATGATCGCAGACGCGGCATTTCAGTCTACAGAAAAATCACGCGAAAAAGCGCTAGAGCTGACGTTGTAAGCTGCTGTACTGCAACTTTTTTTCATTACAGGCTGTTGTCTGCTCCCTCTTATCTCTGCGAAACGCAAAAGAAAAGCACGTACACAACTTCCGCGATGATATGACAAGGCTCAGGCGCCAAGCTCTAGGGTGCAACATTAGCTTGGAGAGAGGGTTTTATTCTCGGCCTTGTCGGCGATTCTTGCTTTCCGGTTGCTGGCGTTACACTTCACATCTCCACAGCTATTTGCAAGCGCAATATTCTTTTCCATTTTCGCAGTCGTGTGCAAGAACCGCACCACTTTGATCCTGGCTCATGCCTTAAATAATCTAATTTCCAATTAGACCCTTAAAGGAATCTTGCGCGGAAAAATCATGATTCTATTTCAGCCATAAATCACTGGCTTGAGACTCATTATCCACGATAATAGTGAAAAGAACCGAAGTATTGCTTTCGTTTTGATTAGAAATTCGAAAACTCGAAAAGGCTGCTACGCGTTCGAATTGCCCACGGACGTCTTTCACGAATGCTGGCGACGGGGATGCTCAAACTTGGTTCTTGGAGTGCATTCACTAGAAGCTCTTTCTGGCCTTCTGCTTCGTTGCATTCACATCTTACACTTCTACTCCATCCTATTCCATCGATCGATTTGTCTCCACTCTCCGAAATCGCGCGCTTTAACCCGATTCTCTCATTGCGTCGCCTGGTACGTAGCCGGCCAAACGCCGTCTTCTTTCCATGCCTCGCCTGGCTCTGCCTCCTGGTCCTTCGATGGTCCATAACGTGTAGTTTTTGTACGTTTGTTTCTCTTCAGAAACCGAATCTTCATGCGTGAAACTTTGTGTGCTATTTCCAGTGATCACAACTGACATATTCATGTTAGGAAAGAGTGCAAGAATTTTCCGCGCAAGATTCCTTTAATGCTTCCTTTGATAGCAACTTTATGACCAG